TATATATAGCGATAGTGAGATGCAAGATGTGTTGGCTGGCCGCTGGGCAATATATAAGCATCATTCCAGTGGTGGCTATTTGATGCGTTACTGTGTCCATAATTTGGATGCGGTTAACCCGCGCCATGCTGGGGGGGGGGGCGTTTTCACGCTTTCCCCCTCAGTCTTTTCACGACTATATCAAAAACGGCGGCGCGCCATTGAAATGCGCCTCTTTTGGACGAATATCGTTCTAAACGCTCGCAAGCATCGTTATAAGATGTAAACATGACACACTGAATAGAAAAACTGCACCCTTGACGACCCCTGTGTGCCTCTGAGGTCATCTCAGTTCACGCAAGGTCACCACTCGCCAGCAGTTTTTTACTATCAATTTTGATAGAGACGTATTAGAGCGGTGATAACAAGTCAAATGTGCTCAGTTTGATGATCGGATCGATTGATATGCAGCATGACCCTTTCAAGTCAGATCATGACCTTGACCTGAGGTCAAATTTTTGAAATGCATTATCAATGTCAATTTATATTGTTCGACGCGTTTCGACGAGAAGAACACGATGCTGGCAAAACTAATGTCGTGGCTCTCTTGAGTCAAAAGTTATTACCGAGAAACATTTTTCGTAAAACGGCGTTTTTAGTTTTTGCCCTCTAGAGGCTAAACCGCTGACCTTAGGTCAGATCTGCAAACTCAGAAACGGCTGTAAATAGTAAAGCAGCTATCGAATGCGTTTCTTTTTTCGCGACGCTGTAGTTCTATTGGTTTTCGAGTTACGTCGGGCGTTTCGAAAATTGTTGAAATAGACAAAATTTGACCTTCTGGTGACCTGACCTTTAATTGACCAAAGTATTTCCGTCATTATTTTTGACGCTCTTTCGAATGCCGCTATACTGCGTGTCACTACGTGACCCGAGAGCCGAGTTAGCCGGGGGGGGGGGACGTGAAAATTCCCCCTCCCCAGCACGACACAAAAAAATAAAAAACCCAGAAGAGCGGGTTAAAAACCGATGGATTGGCGGATGTATGTTAAGAAGATCAGGTTTGGATCGTCTTCTATAATCATGAATCATGTCGTGTAATCATCATGAAGCAGTTATGCGTAGTTTGATTTTATGTATGATTTGAGAAAACTATAAATACCTATTTGTCAGCCTGCCGTGAGCCGTCTACCTGAAAGTGCAGTCGGTAACAATTTGTCAGCAACGTCTGACTGAAAAGAGCAATTCGCCTGAGCTTTGATTATAAAATCCACCCGAGAGCAGAGATAAACTCATTAACTAATTTTGCCCGGAGCTATTGACTTGTCCCCGGAGCTATAAGTTCCTGAATTATATGATAGGATTCATGCAGTACGAACAACAAACGAGGTTAAAGTCGCTCGTTAGCTCTCGCTCTGTCTGTGGTCCTTCGGCCCTTTCTTCTTTTGATGACTACAAAACTTAGTCAGAAACGACGCCACTCGTGATTCGTGCAAGAGATATACCATTACCCACTGTCACACATCAGCATTGTCCAGAAAAAAAAATCATACGCATGTAGGGAGCTAGCCAATAGCCATACCTACCTATTCGTGTTCATAACAGCAGTTTGATATTCACATATTCAACAGATGAAAACGACGATACCTTCGATTTCGCTCAAAATCGATGCCTAATGGTTAGCAAATGAGGCCCTGACCATAAACCCCAACGGTATTTTGCCTGGCACCCAATATTTTATTTTAGCTTCAGCGCCGAAAACGACGATTGCATAAAAACGATCCGACCCTTTCAATTATGCTCAAAATCGATAGGTTAGCAACTTGAGTCATCAAAATCTCAACGGGATTTTGCCGGGCATCCAATTGTTTGGTAATAGTAGCTGCACGGGCATCATTTTCCGAAATTTATTGGTACGGCTTAAATGGTTAATTTTAGAATACGAAAGCCATTCATACCATGCAACGCCATAGGGCTAATGTTAAAATTCATGAAATTACGCATTCCGAGCGAAATCGAAAGGGTTGTCGTTTTATAATATCTGTAGGATATATGTGAATATGGAACTGCTGGCAGCTTTATATACGCGTGCTATATATCTTTGACGGTCGAAATGTCATTCTCTGTGGCATCGCCATTAGCGACCAATGACTACGCGAGATAAGCCAAAGCGGTGTATCTGTGTAACCGAGTCCCCTGCAATAATTTGTAGGCCGGGAAACGGTGTCTGGGCCTGGGACCATACCCAGTGATCTCTACCATCAGATTAGTCCAAACCTTATCCACGTCACGATTACTGGTAAGCCAGCTGTCACCAGTGGCGGATCTAGGATTTGAGTTTAGGGGGGGCAAACATTGCGCCGCCAGGCAAGTCGGCGAGAATTTCAAACGTCCAGTCTTAGGAACAAAAAAAAAACAAAAAAAACGAGCTACCCCTATTTTTCTCCTCGGATTTCGGGACTTTTTTTTACATTTTTGTCAGTCCGGCCATGCCAGGGCAGCGCAAAAAAAAAATTGCAGCCACCCTGACTCCGGGAGATAGTTAGAGAATAGCTCACCGGCGCTATGGACGGTCCGTCCTCTACCTCCCGCATCACCTCGGCAAGACCTCGTCCGAAAGGTCCGCCCGCGCCGGTTCTCAAGGGCTTCTGTATCCGGAGACCGATAAGGGTAGCAGCAGCAGGTTCATGTGTAAATGCCCACGACCAAAGGCCACATCAGCGTCCCTGCGATACTATACGCACTACGCAGTCAGGGTTGCCACGTAGTTAAACGTATTAACAGTTGTTTCCGGTAATAGAAAATGAGATCAGTCGATTAAGAATCCCAACAAGAAATAGACGAAGAACAGCGCATTTGTTTTCGGTCCTGCATTTATTGATGCAATTACAATGAACATTCCTTAACTTTGGGACTAAACTTCGCGAGCTAGCAAAATTATACAATAAGTGTTACTTTCGAGAGGAGATAAACGATGCTTCTACAATCTACAGACTACATAGGACCACAGCGCAACAGCCAACGGAATCACACTGAACAGCGTTAAGTTCCCACAACATACTGAGCTTCTCCAACACCTCGCAAACCAAAAGCTCTGACTGAGCCTTTCTGTGTTTGTCCCCGTTAGATAACGGTATGGCTCATGAAAAAGCCGCGATTGGTAATCTTCTTTACGTTATTCCTCTCAGAAACCTATCTCGCATTTGTTCTCAAAGGCACGCAGTACACCGTTCTTTCTGGCCATCACTGAGTGACACAGCGCACCCCTTTTGGCACCCCCTTTGGAAATGGCTGTATCCGCCTCTGGACATAACTAATGTAGCCACAGTGGAAATGCTAGGTAGGTACTAATGGATATTTATACCCACCAATATTTTTTTCAGCTCCTACACCCATGCTATCTAGCAATAAAATATTATGCAAACACTTCTTGCCGGTCCCGTAGCTCAGTTGGCTAGAGCGTTGGACTCCGCGTGGTGAGAGCACGCGTTCCCGGTTATGACAGTCCGGGTTCGAAGCGCGACGGGCGCTCTACATTTATGGGCCTCCTGACAGGTATGGTTGCGGTTGGTGGCAGGCCGTAGCCAGGCGAAGTCAGCGAGGGGACCGGCCGTGCGCGGCTTTGTGCGCACGTTAAACTTTGGACTCTAAATTCTGCCATAGCACCGGAATTGCGCGATCGGAGGGTAGAGGGCAGGGTCATCGCAACAAGCTTCGCTTAGCGGTGGCTCTGTCCTTGTGAATCCTTCCCATCAAAAGGTTCGGACTAAACTAAAAAAAAATACCCATGCAAACCCACCACTGTCCAACCGCTCACCAGTGTGGTGACCCCTGACCCCACTGGCGTCTGGCGGTCTGCTGTTGACGGTTTGTTTACTTGGTTCAAGGTTTCAATAAATCGTGTTATTATTATTTTTTGGTAGCAGTAGCAGTAGTAGCACTGCTGATGGATGATGGACTGACATTCATGGGGCGGAGGACTTTTTATCAGCTCACAACTTAATATCACGAATATGACAACCTTCTAGTCCTCCATTTATTTCACATTTTCTTTTCAAACACCATATTTTTAGTATTCAAGTTGTAGTTTTTTTAGGGGGGGCAAAAAGATATGTTTGCCCAGAGATTTTCCGTTTAGGGGGGGGGGGGGGGCAATTGCCCATTTTGCCCCAACGTAGATCCGCCACTGGCTGTCACGATTCGAGTTCTCAGTCAAGAGTGGCAAAAGTTCTGTCATTATATTCTGCAAAGCTGCACTTATATAGACTATTTCCAGACAGACGTTTCCACTCTGCAAGACTTAAGTTGGTAAATTTTATTTGGAAATCGTTATCAGCCCAGAACCAACTAGCGATTATACAATGTAGCGGTCTTAGTGAGTCATGATGCCATGATGTGGGTATTCATAACAATAATTTTACACTCTTTGTTCACATGTGTCACTTACATTGATACGAGGTTCGTACTTCATATCCTTATATTACAAAAAAAATGAATTGATTTGACTTGCAACGCCGTGGTTATCTGTGACAACATTCTATCGTGTCGGCTGCATTCTATAATGTTTTTCTTCCTCACCCGCAACTGTGACGAGCACGGAGCACCTTGTAATTCTCGTAAGCTACAGCTAGTGACAGCACAATGCACAAAATCCCGCTCCCGACAGAGCCAGCGTACATGAGAACCGTACCTATGGTCATCGCTGACGCCCTGCCCTCTGTCATGAAGTGCTGCTAACTTTATGCACACCTTGCTATTCAATCGACATATATGGCACACTGACGCCGACGCGTCCGCCCTGCTGCGGCGGCCCGACCGGTCAACAGGTCCCTGACCCCACCGACCGGCGGCAGCCGACTGACGGTCCGAAAATGCTGACAAAAACTCACTAAACGTCTGTAAACACCGACTGCGAAAAACGACACCGGACGATGATTAATTTATGAATACGCAACACCGCACGGCTGCGTATGTTGACTCGAAATTCGCTCATCACTGTGTGTTCGGTTCGCGTCGTTTCGGTCACTCGACATTCTACCTGGAGAGGCTGAGAGCCGGCTGCAGACTGGACGAGACGGGACCGGAGGCCGGCGCGGCGGCAGCACTCTGCCGCGGGTGAGCGGGCCGCAGTGCAGCGGCGGCCGTGGAGTCGAGAGCAACTCTGCAGGCCAGCTCCTCTGGGAACTGCCTCCACCTGGGCGTGGTCCTGGCACGGTTGTGTGAGAGCCGAGAGGTCAGCACGGTGCTGCGGCCTGCACCCGTCACCATCAGCACCAACTAGCACCACCGGCAGCGATTCAGCGGCAGCGTGCGAGCCGGGCCGTTGGCCTTGGCTGCGAATGGGCCCGGGAAAAGTGCCGGTGCCGGTGGCCGGTCTGGCGAGTCGCCCGGCCGCGCGCGCTGGTCAGTGGTGAGCCGCCGTGGTCAACGGCCGTGCCGTCATCAACACAGTGGTGATCGGTTGGGCGTGAACGTTGCGCAGGGAGATCGAGAATTATATGTGGTGTCTGACAAGAAGCCCGTGATTGACATCGTGCGAATTAGCGGTTAAGGAAAATATCTGGTCCCGTGTATGCGTGTGCTTAAAAACATAAAATAGAAAGACTCAGATGTCCAGTCAAGCAATAGGTTGCAGCAAAGCGTGGCCTGCAACCCGTGACCTGTGACCCATGAGCCGTGACCTGTGACCCGTGATCCGTGATTCGTCACAGTCCCAGCACCAGAACCAACATCATCAGCGCGCGGTGCTGACGAGCTAATCTCCGCGAATGTGCTGATTCAGAGTGCTGAGCGGACCGAGAGATGACCGGATGTCAGGATGTGCGCTCTGGCTTCCCTAGTGACGCCACCCAGATCTGCTGCAAATCGTATCCTGCGAAAGCGTGAGGCCGGACGCGCTTACAGTGGCGAAACGTCAGCTGTGCCGGTTTTACCAGCGAGGTCGGCTGTGCCGGTCAGGTTTCCAACACCCGCCTTGTCAGTGTTGTGAGTTTTGTGAGAAAGCCATCCGCGGCGTTTTGGGAGAGTTTTAGTCAGCAAAGTCTGTGTGTGAGACTACATCCCTCGGTTCGATCCCAGCGAGGTCACCAGCAGGTCACAGCCAGACCGCAGCCTAGTGGACACCCCACCCACTCAGGCCATATTAGCTGGATCGCTCTGGGGATCTAACCGTGCCTGGCTCTGCTCTGAAGCGGCTGCCAGTTCAGCCCGTCTGTGCGTGGGAGAACCGGAGTGCTGACCTGCCCGAGAAAGGGGACTGACCCGACCAGTGCGACCTGGTTACGCTGTGGAAAGGTCAACAGCTCCGAGATGTCTGCATCAGCCCGCCGTCGCCGCTGCTGCCGCTGTGTCACAGTCATCACGGTGGCTGTGCTCCTCAGCGACCTCGGACAAGTCCAGTCAGGTAAGGGAGAGCGAGGGACAGAGAAAAATAGAGAGAGAAGAGAAAGGAAGATAAGAGACGTGACAAGAATTCCAGGCTAGGGCACCTGACCCACACATATATTCATGTCAGAAGTCTTTTTGTTTCTTCACTTATTTCGAGTCCTTATTTTCGACATCCACGTCCATTAATCACGCAATCTAATGGCCTTACTGCCCGTCATATGGTGCGGCATCGGTTGTTTTAGTGTCCGGCATCGGTGTCCCATGTGTCCGTCACAAACCCGTCTATCGGTGCCCTTATTTGTGTCCGCGTGTCCGTGGAGATTCCATATTTGTCGCCGTGCTGGTCGTCCTCAAACGATATCACGCGAGCCGACCGGACAGCCTTCCGACCGGCATCGCTCGCGACATACACCGCTGACCAACCCTCCAAAGGCGCTCGGTTTGACTCCAGCCGGTTGGTCAGCTGATGAGGCCCGCTCCCGGATCCGGTCCCAGTCTCGGGCTCGTCCTCCCCGTCCCGATTCAGGCCCGCCGAAGAGTGGCTTCCCACGATGGCCCGACTGCGGGCTCGGGTGCACCGGCTGGGGAGCGGTCTGTGCGGCTCGAACGGTCCGTCGGCGCCATGGCCGGTCGGCAGATGGTCCGATTATGTCGGCTCTACCCTGATTACGGGCAATGACGGCGGCGACGGCTGCGTTCCCGCGCGATAGGCGTCGGCGCCGGTCTGCCCGGACGAGATCGCAGAGCCGGTCCGGGAAGACGGCGGGCTTGATCTCGCTTTCATCCGTCGGAGCAGGTCGTGAGGTAGCCCAGGCACGTCTGGTTGGCGGAATTTGGGGCGATTCAGATCCAGTCAGATGTGTGAGGACTTAGGTGAAACGTCGGTAAATTAATGAATTGAATTGGAGCTTGTCAAAAGTGAGAAGCGTGCCTGAACGTCAATGTTTTAGGATTCCCTGTCCTAGATGTTGAAAGAACCAGTTCTAAATACGTTGTGGGTTGTACTTTCTAGGCGGATGTCTTCATAACAGCAGAAGTTGCAGCAACAGCGCTCATTTTTTGAGGCATGGCCATTGGCCAGCGTTAGATGAGAGGCCGTGTTGTAAGCGAAGGCCATAACTCATGGTACGCTCGTAAAGACGGTCTGGTTTAAGATGCAGACTGCAGCTAGTATTCAGGTTTCCGAGATGTGAGCGTCTAACAGATGAAAAGGATTGCGACAAAATCTAGTCGCAGGATTATGGCGCGTCATGCGTTACATTCAATGTCTTCAGATCTTCAGATTATGCAATTTACATATTTTATTTTCACTCAATACTTTCAAGTGTAGGTAACTTAAATCACAAGCCTTGAGGATTTATATTTAACGATAAGTGATTATCAAGCTTTAAAGCATATCGGTAAAAGAGGATCAGGCTTCCTTGCATCGACTCAAATACCTATTTTTCTTTAAAATCAACAAAATTTAATTTCTAACTGTGTTCTTAGATATGTTCTTCACTCATTCGCAAGAGGGATTTAAAAATAACAAATTCTTATTTTTGCATCCCAGAGGAGTGCGAGATAGAAATAACCCTGCACTGTAAAGTGTAAACCCAATGTTGTAAACCTCGGCTTTATTCTCATCATTCATGGAACGGCGTGGGTCCCAGAGCTTGATATCCTAAATACTGACGTCTATAGAATTCTGCTTAGAACAGGGCACTCATCCCATCACAGTTAACATACCTAGCAACAGTAAAAAGAAAACAAAAGCAAACTGAGCAAGTACACACTACACAGTAACCCATGCCATGCCACCCACCGCTGGCCAATTGCAGACCATGAGTGATTAGACGTTTGTGGAATCTGAAATCTGATGGTACCCCGAGAGTTATGAACCAATTCAGCTCTGTAAGAAATATACTTATATAATTGCCAGCCTAGCCTATATACAACGGAGCAGTGTAAGTGTCCGAATAATGACCCTTCACATTCCTACTTAGTGCCAGTTCTACGAAAACAGAACTGCCATACTCCACTTTTCTCAGCCATGGGGAACACAAACACAAGCACACAGGTGCCGTCTATACTCGGCTGCTGGGGCCCGTGCACTGCACTGTGCAACGGTACACGATACAGTAAGAGAGCGAGGGCACGCAAACATCGGTCTCGGAGCGAAAAAAGGCAAAATCCCACGGATACCTGTTAGATATGGAACGCAGCTAGAACTTTGGATAACCGGCCAGCTTTTTTCGCTTGTCTGAGTCAGGAACCATTTTCATGTGAACACACGTCCTCGCGACTAACTATTCAGCCCTGTCAACGCATAAAACTAGCATGCAGGCTTATGTTGTAGGGTCAATACCTATGTGTATGATGAGTCGACTGATTCCACCCATGGCGTTCATCGACTGACGAAACACGTTCACCAACATACAACATTATACCACCAAACCGCATGGATATAGTTAGATGCGGTGCAATCTGTAAAATTACGTTTGTTTTATAGGGTGCGATTGGCGAACAGTTGATAATGCCATTCTCATGAAGACTAGTTTATCGCATTTTCATCACATGCATTAGGTAACTGCGTCACATAGCATTTCGTTATACCACAATGCTGAAAACAGTGTCCTGAATCTGACTCCCGAGGACAAAAACAATGCCTTGCTTACAGCATAACCGGTTCTGATGTGCCCTTGAAGCTCGGCATGAGAATGCATTGACGCGTGGCAGTACAGCAAACCAGTGATGTTCAACTTACCAGGCGGCCTTAAAAGTTAAATATAACAAACGCACTAACGATTTTGTTTCAATTTAGTTAGAGAGCTAAGCACGTGTGCGAATGGCACGACCAGAGGCAGCGACTTGGTTACAAAATATAATTTGAAAGTTACCTGTATTTTGTATACGTTATCTAGTACAGATATATGTAGGTGTATAAAAACGACAACATTATTCAAATACATAATATTTTTAATACAGGTACATATGCAGTGTTCAAGGTATTTTAATACCGAAAGGCATTTTCTGGCGTATTTGAATAATATTGTCGTTTTTTGTACTTACTAGTTACCTGTATTTCTTTTGCAACGCAACTTGGCGGGACAACATCGGCAATGCAGTTAATCAAGATGAAAATATTCATGGCCTATGGTGGCTCATGATTGATCAATGTATGGCTATCTAATGAAGGGTAGACATAACATTGTTTGTTTGTTCGTTGGAGCTTTAGGGCGCGCCGACTACTGGGGTCATTTTGCGCCCATAACGTCATACTTATAGTAGAGCTGGTGTCAAAAGAGAGAGCCATCTAGATCATTAAGGAACAAGCTCACAGCCACACAGTAACCGTTTTCACAACGGTCATCTGGTACACACTTGGTGCAGATTAAGTGCAGATATGGTGCAGATTTGGACTTGGTCAAATTAGGTTCAGTGTGTTTCTTAAAAGCTATCAGTTTGAGCTGCACAGATCCTTCTCGATGATAGATGACGACCCGATTCGGTACAAGCCCGCACAGAGTACATTGTTTTGTTTGTTTATTGGAGCTTTAGTATACGCCCCGACTACAAGGCCATTTTGCGCCCAAGCACATCGTCCTTGAACCAGATATCCAACGAAAGTCTAATAACTAAACAAAAAAGATGAAGTGCAAAAGAGGCCCAATCGCTGGTTCATGGGTTGCTTCCTCAATCCTCGTTAATTCTTTTATATAAGGGCTCAATTGGGCAAAACCACAAATCTCCGCGCTCAATGTTGCTACACGCGATTATCATTAACTCTGTTCGTTCAGTGCTCTCCGCCTTTAAATGCAAGTGCGTCGGTACCGTATATGTATCCCGTTGGCGCATTTTTACACTGGAAGCAAGGCCACTTTGTACCCGTTTCGTAAGTCACCACTGTATGTCGAAAGACACGCTCAGTTGTAGCTGCTGTCAAAAAGGACCTTGTGACAAGAGCTTGGCGACATTCTGCGATCGTTTGTAGAACTGACACTTGCGGAGCCCGAGAATTCCCGTCATGTTTACACATATTCGTACAAGTTCGGCGTGCCAGTCCTGGCTCGGAAACCTCTCAAGGTCGTACCGGAGAGCAAATATCTCGTGTCGAATGACTGACGTTGTGCACGCTGCACAGAAGTCAGGAAGGCCGTGCCTGCAAACGGTACGGTTTAATAACAGGTAAACGTCGGTCGATCGAGGCTCGTTAATGAATACGCTATCTCGGTGGCAGATTGCCACCGGTAATCGCTGCATATTTGAGGAAATGCAGACGGAAGTTTGAAAACGTTAAGCTGACATGGTCTGTCAAAAGTTACGAAAGGTTCAGATATGCAACATGACATGACAATCCACCTGCACTCATTTACTGCTGTCACTAAGCAATTGGTTGACAGACTTCATCAATATGAATAAACAGGATATCCCATCGTCACTTTATTCCGACTTACTATATATGCCGTAATAAACGATCATTTTCGGACGCACAAGTATCCTTCATCCTCTTATAGTGTGCGTGATAAGATCGCCGGCAGTGCGCAGTGCTACCGGCTGTGTTTTAGCTCACCACAGTGTGGTGCAATTCTTCTAAACCACCCTACCGGCCTGCAATCCAGCCATGATGTTCCGTGATTCCGTGGTTTTGTTCCGTGATTCCGTGCAGTTTTGATTTATTCTACCGATCGCAGTCACACCCCTGTTGTGGCGGGCTGCTAGTCATCTCGTGATTCACACACACACCAGGCCGCTGGGAGCAGGCCTGCGCACTGTGCACAGCACACTGTGCAGTGTGTACTGTGCACCCTCTTTGCGCTAGCTTCGTGACCCGCGGATAACGCCTCCCTCCTGGAAGAGGGGAGCTGCGGGAACGGGAAGTGGTTCTAGAGAACAGGCCGCGTGGGCGCAGCTTCAGAGGACAATCCACATCCACGCCAGTCTAATTAGCAAGTAGTGGTTGATAGAAAAGCGGAAGGATAGTGATAGCCAAAGCCATGGGTGTCGATTTGTATACTTTTGGGGGTGCTGCAGCAC